ATAAAAATAAAATAAATGAGTGAGGGCAAACTACCAATAGAGAACAAAATGAAATTTCAACTATCTTAAGGGCAATAAACCCTGACTCAGAAGCAAATATCAAATGAAGGAATTATCTGCATGTCTTATTTTTTACTAGATTTTAAGCTTTTAGAGGACAGGAGTCCAATAAAATGCCTAGTTTGTTCGTTCGTTTGTTATTCATTCATTCATTCATTCATTCATTCAATAGATATTTATTGATCACCTACTGGTGTGCCAGGTGGTATGCTAGATCCTAGGGATACAGTGGAGTGAAAATAAGATAGTTTCTATCCTCTAGAACTGTGTGTCCAGCACAAGTACAGGCACCAACATATGTGGTGGATAAACTAGTATGCCTGGTCACATTGGTGGCACCACACCACACCTGGGAACACATCTGGATTACCGTGTAGACCACATACAGTAGGTACAGTATGACTCAGCATTCCTGATCCAGGATTGTACTTCCCCAGTTATCTCAGTCTGAAGTTTATCATGACACCTTGTCTTCCTTCACTAGTCATTCACAAGGTTATCATACTCAGCTCCAGATGCGGGGATTTCTGGGCTACTAGTCTCAAAGGAATCCTTGAGTAGAATCAATGTTGAGGAGTAGTAAGTAGAATCAGATATGGGTTTTTACATGTACACAGATACACACACATCTGTTATACTTTGATTATTCATTAACCTGATAAAAGCAAATACACACACACATATATACATAAAAATATTTAGTTGTTTTTTGTTTTTTTCTGGCTAACGAATAAAGTATACTAAGTCATAAACCCACTGCTCTCAGGAAAGGGAAAGGCAGGGTGGGGGACTGCTAAGGATGGAGAAGGAAAAGATTTGCTGGGGGCTGGGATGGGGAGGCCCCAGATCCGGGTGTTCGGTGGGAGGAATTCCAGCCCTCTAGGCAGTACCTGATAGCCAGAGAGCTGTGAGCAAACAACAGGTGGTAGTCCAGGAGAGCAGCAGGTATCAGGATGTCCAACTTGAGGTAATGGGGAAAGGAGGCCTGACAGTTGGATAGAATATGGGCAGAGAATCTAGGAACAAAGAGCCAGAGGTCAGTAAGTGTTGCCACCAAGGGTAACAGTGCACAGCAGCGTGTATGGCAGGGCTAGGGCTGACTCTAGAGAGCAGAGTCCAGAGAACAGGCAGAGAAAAATCAGGTTCCACACAGGTTAACAGGCCAGGGCTTCAAGCACAAGAAAAGGGCTGTGAGTCAGTTCGAAGAAAGGGGCCAAGGTTGGGGCTCCCCCCATGTAAGTAGCAAAGGCAGCAGAAGGCTGGGTCCCAGCTTGGGACTGGAGCTGAGACTCTTCCTGCCACAAGGCCAGGAAAGGATTAGGTTTTGTTGTAAGGGGTGTACTGATAGCAGGGAGAGGACTGTAGTAACCATGGGCTAGGGAGGAGCACGTGGGGGCTACTTCGCAGCAAGAGCTTCAGTAAACTATCTTTGAATCACAGTAAACAAGTGCTTTGAAGCAAAGAGAAATGGAAATGGGAAAAGGAGCAAGTAATTGAGAAGTAAAAATAGAAGGAAAGGTAAAAAGAAAAGAAATCCATTACAAAGAAAAGGACAAATTTAGATTTTTGAACTTTATTTTGTGCATTGATTTTAGATAACCTACCTTTTTCTTAAACACAATTTCTGTTTTGGCTTGTTCCTTCTAAACCATAACAGGTTATTATTAACCAGTAGAATAATATATTAGTGTCCATGCTGAGAAGTGTAGCTGTTTCCTTTAGGCTTTACAATGCTTTTGTCCATTTGACACTGGGTTTTAAACTAACCGGAAGTATCACCCTGCAAGGGCATTCCTGCACTAGTCCCTCCTTACTGGGCTCTAACTTACTCCATATCCGGAGCCTTAGTGCTGCCTTTGCCTCACAAAATCTTTACAACAGGAAAATGACTTCGGATAGATTAACTTGGATCAATCAAGAACTATTGCCTTCCCTGAAAATGGTATATCCTGACCCACCCTTGTCCTTTTCAACATAGTCCATGCCACCCTCAAAAGCTAAGTCTTGATGACAAGGTTCAGAAAGGCTTAGAGGAAATTCTAGCCTTATCTCATGTGTTTAACAGATAGGAGCACTTGTTCTGTGCCAGGAGCTAGGCTCTGAGGAAACAGCTGAGAAGAAGAGGGACAAGGTCTTTGCTCTCATGGAGTTTACATTCTGGGGGCGGGGGGGGGGGGGGCGGGCAGATAGCAGAGAAACTCAGACCATAAACCAATAACTAAACAAACAAGGTAATTTCAATTAGTAAAAAGTGATATAAAGAAAACAAAATTGGCCGTGGGTGCTAATTTAAGACAGGTGATCAGGGAAGGTGTCTGAGGATCTGAGAACTGTAGAAGGGTAATTTTACATTCCAAACTAAGGCTATGGGGTTTGAGTACGCAACTACCACCTTTGGGGCCTACACCTCAAACTGTGCAGAGAAAAAAGGCCACCACGTCCAGCCATTCTATTAACCTTCTTAAAGGAAAGCCATCACACTAAAGAATGTTAAATTTGGACCTTGAGGTGTTGCCTGAGTTTGGGGGCCAGACAATACGTGTCTAGATGTCTCCTTGGGCTTCCTGGCTGCTCTGTTCATTTAGTGGGCAAACTGGAGAAACAGGCTGGCATGCATACACATGCCAGGAACCAGAGAGAACACCATGACCTACTCAGTTGTAGGTAGGTAGGGTGCCTGCTGTGAAAATGGGAAGGTTTGGTCACTAGGTGGGCTTATCTAAAGGGAACAAAAGGATGTCAAGTCAAGTCCCAAAGACTTGAAAAGAAGATCCTTTCAAAGAGATGCAAAGATATCATGACTTAAAATATGATGCCTCTATTTTGTTATTTCTACAGTGGCATATTAACAAAACCCAGGCAACACCGATTTGCAAGTTTCAGAAATTTGATGATGTACTAAAGTCTTAACCTGAGACTCTTGTCTGTTTTATGGACTGATTCATATGCCTAAAAATCGAAGTAAACTTCAGAGGGTATATTAACACACTTGTCATGATTTTATCTGCCATGACACATTGCTCAGCATACATCAGTGAGTTCTCTGGCCAATCAGTCTGAATCTCCTTTTTTTTTTTTAAAGATTTTATTTATTTGACAGAGAGAGACAGCGAGAGAGGGAACACAAGCAGGGGGAGTGGGAGAGGGAGAAGCAGGCTCCCCACAGAGCAGGGAGCCCAGTGTGGGACTCAATCCCAGGACTCTGGGATCACGACCTGAGCCGAAGGCAGACGCTTAACGACTGAGCCACCCAGGCGCCCCGAGTCTGAATCTCCTTAAGCAAAAGGCCCACCCTTTCCCCTAAAATAAAGCAGGAATGTAGAAAACTTGAAAAAGTGACGAGTTTTAGTTGATGCAAGGAAATTCGTGGTTGATGCAAGAAAACTCCTATTATCATACATTTTCCCCGCACAGCAAGATACTACAACCCCTGACTCTCAAACCTGAGACAGCTCAAGAGTTCATTAAAAAAAATTAGAGAATTGGAAAAAAACTTGGACTTACAGAAGGTATCTGAGGCACCAAGGGCAAACGTGGTTTGTAAAAGGAGAAGAAAAGAAAAAAGATCTTTAAACAAGAATGTAAAAGAATTTAGACATTTAAACAAGATTAAAAGGGAATACTCTGGAATCTAAACATCTCTTCAGGGAGAATGCGTATAAAAACAAATACCAGTGCCTGGCACATTCTTTTTCTTCCCTCTTTCTTTTTACTTCGCTGGAACAGTGATTTTATAAAAGGACCTTAAAAAGAGTTATCTTTTTAGAGACTTAACACGATACATACTGTTGCAACACTTACCAAAGAGATTAAGGTCACATTTGGTTGTTAAAAGGGGACCTATATTCTTTCTTCGCATACAGGACACTGAAAACGTTTAACAGTATTTTCCTCAGAGAATGGGGGGGCAATGTTAGAAAAGAAGTAGTGACAATTATTTGCATTTTCCAAAGAGCGGGAATGAGACTCCGGAGGGCACGCGAGGTCCTAAGAGTGAGCCAAGGTTGAGGCGGGAGCAGTATTTATAGTCCGCTGACTTCAGCTGGCCCGGGGTAACGCCGCCGCTCCTCTTCTGCCTGAGGAGTTCACGGGCTCGCAGGTCACAGGGCTCCGGGCGGCCGGGCCTCGGAGCTGCGGGGCCGACGCGGCGATGCCTCGTCCCCTCGCCGCTCCCGCGGAGCCCGCCCACCTGCGCCGGCCTACCTAGGCCTCGGCACACTGGCACGGAGCCCAGACCCAGAAGCCGGGGCGCGGTGGGTGGATAATGGATGTAGTGTGGCTACACTTTCCTTTCTTTGTCGCCACGACCACTACCACGACCTGGCAAGTCTTCGCCGTGGCGTGCGAGTGCTGGCGCTCACCGGGAGCATTACAGTGTGTCGGAGAGAGGGTCCACGCGAAGGGATCCGGGAGGGCCCAACCCGCGCCCGCGGTGTCCGCGCCCCTTCACCAAGCCCCGTCGTGCGCGTCCCGCGCGCGGCGTCTGTGGGACGCGGCTGCCGGAGACGAGCCGGCCCCGCCACGGCGGCGGCGGTAGGGCTGCTTGGTGGGGAGGGGCCGGTGGGGCAGCGCGGAGGAGAAACCCCCCCAACGGCAGCCCGGCGCCCCGCTGCGGGGGACGAGGGCCCGCAGCCGGCAAGGGGGCGCCGGGCCTCGCGGACCCTTCGGGCGCTTCCGCCGTGCGCTCGGCTCCTTTCGTGTCCGGGGCGGGGCGGGCGCCTTCCCAGTGCGCGCGCGCGGCGCCGAATCCGGCGGAGGCCCGCCCCTCCCCCTCAAGTCCCCGCGCCCGCGCCGCTCCCCCCCTCCACCCCGTGCGAGTGTCGGCGGCGGCGGCTGCCGAGATTGGAATCCGCCTGCTGGCGCTCAACGAAGGAGGAGGGAGGAGGGCGGGGAGAGCGGGCAGGAAGGCTCGGACTCCCGCGCGTCCGTCCGCGCGAGACGAGGATCGCACGGCCGCGCGAGGGGCTACCGGGCCGGGGCCGCTGCACGCCGAGGGCGGAGGCCGAGCCGGGCCCCCGCCGCGCCCCGGCGGCTCGCCGCGCCCACCCCGCTCCGCGCCGAGGGCTGGACGATGAGTTCCCCGGGGTCCGGGTGAGTTGGCTCGTCTGTGAGTGCGTGTGCGCGCCGGGAGAGGCCGGCGGCGGCGGCGGGGAGGCCGACGCGGACGCGGGGTGAAGTTTCGGGGGCAGCCGGGCGCGCGCGGGAGGCCCGAGAGGGGGTCGGCCCGGCCCGGCCGCCTCGCGGGGTCCCCGCCGTCCCTGCTGTGTCAGGCCGCGGCCCGCTGGGCCCCACCGCCCGGCGCCCCCACCTCGGGCCGGGCCCCGCCGGAGACCCCGGCCCCCCGGACGCCCGACGTCTGCTCCTTGCAGCCCCCCGCGGCGGCTCCACCGCCCGACCCCTCTTTTGTTCCCCACCCCCGGGTTTCAGGCCGAGTTTGGGGAGGCAGTGTGGGCGAAAGCCGCCTCCAAGGACGCTCCTTGAATCCTTAAATGGGAAAGGAGCTCACCTCTCTTGCCCAGGAGCTGCGAGGCTGATATTCGCGATTTGTCTCTCTCCGCTGCTGCGATGGAGGAAAAAAAAAAAGTCTGTTTCGTGGGGTGGTAGAGCCAGGGGGAGCTGCGAGCCCTCCCTCAAAACTTGCCCGCGGGAAGGTGCCAGGTTTCTCGGAGGTTCACCTGTTGTCCTGCGCGGCCTCCGCTGCCATGTCTGTTGTGATTCTGCACTCAGTTTCTGAAAACTTTCTGCCGGATCGAATGTAACCTTTTTTTTTATGCCCTCTTTCCAGACTCCTAGTGGAAAGATTTGGCAGGGGAAAAAAAAAAATAGCTTGCGTCAGGAAAGAAAAATAATGTGCTATGTGTTAAGGGTCTGGCGTTTTGTGACTTGTATACTTTTTCATGCTCTCGAATGTTTTAATTTGGTCAGGGTGCTGCAGTTTTTCTCTTTAAAATGGTTACCAAACTCTTTTGAGTACACAGTGCGAACTTGGCACATTCACCTGTGTGACGTCATTTAATCCTTGTGATAACCCTGGTTATTGTGTTTATTTTTTAGACGAGGAAACCGAAACGCAAAGAGGTTAAGTAGCTTGTATGAATGAGCTGGGATTTGAACCCAGGGTTTTCTCTGCTGTTCAGGAACTGTCAGAGTGAGACTTAGATGAGTTTGAAAACAACAACAAAGCCTCATTCTGCAAACAGTTTTACGTTTAGGGGCACTTTGCAGTTACTCATACTTGAAATGATCGCTGTTTTGTTGCTTGGGTTGAAAACAACACCTTTATTGTATTTACTTAATAAGGGAAGTTCAACTCTGAATTGCAGTAGAATGTAACTTAATGCTTATCACTGTTTTCAGTTGAAATAAAAAGTTTGTGAACCAGAATTATTTAAATATTTGAACTTAAAGCAAAAATGCGGGCAGTTCTGAGCTAGAAAGGGGTTGAGTTTACAAAAGGGTGATTGAAATTTAGAATACTCCTTCATAGAACGAGTATTCCACTCGTGTTTTCGGGTGTGCCCCCCGCCCCCTGCACAGTATTCGTGGAACTCATTTAAAACTTTTTCTCACTTCTCCATGCCTTTTACTGAAAAGCTTGAGGCATTCAGTGGGAGCTCCTTCCAGAATGTACTGGGTTACTTCTATCATCTGCTTTCCTTCCATCTTAGTGGAATGTTTTTTGTCCTTCCTACTAGTTAACACCTTGTTTCTTTCTTTTTTTTTTCTCTCTCTCCTACTTAATGGAGTAGGAGTTACTCTCTTTTAGGGTTCTTGAAAGTATAAATGTGCATAAGATTTTTTCAATTTACAAAAACCTTCCCTTGAGCATGCTACTCCCTCAAGCTGTTATGTTGCTGCTTTTCCTTTTCAAATCATATTAACATTAAAAAAAGTTGTCTTCTTGTAAAATACATGTTCATTAAAGAAAAATTGTAAAGTAGAGCAAAATTGAAGTAAAATTAAAATTCAGTCGTCCATAATCTCATCTCTGAAGATTGCCAAGAGTAGTTTACTTTTCCTGCATTTACTTCCTGACCATCCATTCACTTCTTAACCCCTTGTTATCTGCTGTTCACCTTCACAAGGGTTACCTATAACCTAAATAACACATTTAAGCCCTTTTTCTAAATCACCTCCTTGAGCTTTCTGTGATATTTAACATCACCTTCGCATTCTTGAAATGCCTTTCCTTGGCCTTTTTTTCATGTATCCATTTTATTCAACGAATACTTAGTGGCATTCAATAGTGGTATTCAAACATACCCGCCAGAGCGGCAGAGCAGCGGAGGCAACAACAGGCGTTGTCCTTGCCCTCCTGGAGCTTAACGTCTAGTGGAGGAGACATGGACTGAAGAAGGGATTCTGTGGCTAACTGTAACTGATTATAATTAAAGCGCATAGTATTAGAGGAACTTAAAATGGGGACCTGACCTGGTGCTGGTGGTGCTAGGACAGTCAGGGAAGGCCTTAAAAACATCACTTTGGAACCATTCTGAAGGATGAATAGGAGTAGGACAAAGGGCTTCTGTGACATACTGACTTCGTTCCTCTTTGCCACTTTCCGTTCTTCCCGCTTAGTATGTGTTCTCCAGGTTTCACTTTTCAGATCACTTTTCTGTATGTCACTAGTCCCTTAGCATTTTTATTGTTCAGACCCTTCTGTCTGAATAATTCTCAGATCTCATTCTTTCTCCTCTGCACGCGAATCCCTGTTTTTCCCACTTGCTTTATACATACCTCTACCTGGTAGTTCTGGTTCAGACTGAACTCTTCCTTACCAAACTTGTTTCCCTGGTGTTCCTTATTTCTGTTGATGTCATACCAAACCCAGACCTTTCTCCATTCTGTCACATCTTATCTGTAGTCAACATCTATTGCTTCTACTGTCATTGTATTGTTCCTCTTTATTCCTGTTGATGTGGCTACAAGTCTTGATACATGTTGGTATGAAGGTTATAGACTCATAAAATGAACTGGGCAGCTTTCCTTTTTCTTGTTTCAAGAGCATTTTATTTATTTTTATTTATTTTTTAAAGAGATTTATTTGAGAGAGAGCGAGGGCACTCAAGCATGGGGGGAGGGTCAGGGAGAGGGAGAGAATCTCAAGCCAACTCCACGCTGAGCTGACACAGGGCTTGATCCCACGACCCTGAGATCAAGACCTGAGCTGAAACTAAGAGTCGGGCACCCCCTTAGGAACATTTTAGACTGGAATTATCTTGAGAGTTTGGCAGACCTCACCTACAACACCATTCAGGCTTTGTTTGTTTGTTTGTTTCTTCTCTGTAGTCCTCTGTAGAGGACTTTGAATACCATTTCAGTTTATATAATAACTGTTGGTCTGCATAGGTTTTCTATTTCTTGTGTGAGTTTTAGTGTTTAATTCTCCAGAGATTTATTTATTGAGTTTTCAAATCTGTTAACTTTGTTTTCACATAATTCTTTTTCTTTAAATTTTTTTGATTCTATATATATTTGTATGCAACAGTATATATTGTGTATGTATTTGTATATCTGATGATTTTTCCTTTTTTTTTTTTTGCTAATTGAATCAGGTTCTCATCGCACCTGGGCTAATGTTACAATCTTCTTGCCTTCACTTTCACCTTTATCTGGGTTATCTTATGCGGTTCCGCTTAAGTTAATCTTTTTTTTTTTTTTTAAAGATTTTTACTTATTTATTTGACAGAGAGAGAGCGCGAGCGAGAGCAGGAACACAAGCGGGGGAGTGGGAGAGGGAGAAGTAGGCTTCCCGCGGAGCAGGGAGCCCACAGCAGGGTGCGATCCCAGGACCTTGGGATCATGACCTGAGCCGAAGGCAGACGCTTAACGACTGAGCCACCCAAGCGCCCCATGCTTAGGTTAATCTTGAAGCCCATTTTGTCACTTCTCTACTTAGAAGTTTCCAGTGTCTTCTATTAAATGAAGTCCTTTTCATGGGATTTACCTCAGATTTCCTTTATTTGTATTTCCCACTATTATTGTTTTCTGCACCTGTGCTTTTCCCCCTTTCTGACGTCTTTCCCATTTTCTTCTGGATGAAATCCCTTCTGAAGGAATTCCTTCTTAAGGAAGGTTTTTTTTTTTTTTTTTTAAGGCCAGTTTTTTATCTAATATTTTCTTACTGCACTTAACTAATTTGTCTTTTGAAAAAATCAACTTTATTGGGGTGCCTGGCTGGCTCAGTCGGTGGAGCGTGTGACTCTTGATCTCCGGGTGGTGAGTTCGAGCCCCACGTTGGTTGTAGTGATTACTTAAAAATAAAATCTTTAAAAAAATCAACTTCATTGAAGTATCATTTATATATAGTGATATGCACATGTTAATTATGCAGTTCTGTGAGTTATTTGGTCTTTTATAGAGATTTGTGAACAAATGTTAGTTCTGTTACTAACCTGCTGACTGGGTCTGTAAGTGACTTTGTTGCATTTTAAAATGAATAAATGGAGAAAGGCTCCTGTCTAGCCTAGCAGTGGCTGGACATCAGTTATAGTAGTACTGATCTGATTTTCAGATTTGGGGAGCAGAGAGCCTCAGAGAGAAAGGAAAATGGGTTTCCCCTCAGGCTACATTTTGAACTAGAAAGTCCTTCCCTCTTCCACTTTTTATTAGTGTTTATGTTTTTAGAATGCCTTTTAATATCTCAAGGTCTATTCTGACCAGGTCAGTCTAACTTTTTAACACTTGGAAGATTAAATGCTGAGTTGTATTGAATTATATCAGCTATAAGATGCACCATACTTTTATGGGCCACTCATAAAGAAAATCTGCTTCTAGTTAATTTCAAGAAGCCATCGGTTGTAAGATGCACCCTAATTTGAGATGCTAAAATATGAAAAATATATGTGCCTTAGAACTGATGAATAGGGTTTTTCCCAGTTAATCAAAGTCCCGTTCCTTTAGTATAGATGTTGGGAAGAAGAATTTAAACCACACTTATGTGGGAGTGACTTGTAGTTCTGTTGGTACTCTGAAAAGTTGTGTGTGTGTGTGTGTGTTTAAAGAGAATGCTTGTTAAACCTTTTTAACAAGTAAAGCATTTTAGGCAGTATAGAGAAATATTTATTTTTGGATGGGGTCTCCTACAACTA